TATATCACATAAACAATATTATACAAAATAAAATTTCGCATATAAGAACCCAATCGGCCGATAACTACATTCTCTAATTCTGGATTACACAAACAAGGTTCAAGAGATTAAATTTTATTATCTACAAGGTGTTGGATTTAATAAGAAGATTTATATGAGTGTTCTTTCAACAATAACTATATTATATGAAAGAAGATTAAAACAAGAAAGAGAATAAATCATTTTAGAGGAAACAAGAGAGGGAGAAAATTTTTCAGAGGGAACCCATACGGAGAACTGAAGAAAAAAGGCAAAACAAAAAGATGATGAAGAATGTGAAAAATAAATAATAAATGTGAAAAAATAAGGAAGAATGGTGAAAAAATGAGGAAGAAATGTAGATATAAAGAAAATAAGGAGAATATTTATTAAAAAAACATAGTTGAAAGTAGGGGTGGGTGTTCGGTACTTCGATTCAGTGTGTAAGCATTTCGATTCGGTATTTTGGTATTCGATTTATCAATTATATATACAAAATACCGTACCAAAGTTAGTTCGGTACAATTCGGTATTTCTTGTTCGGTTTAATATGCTTTCGCTGCGGTATTTCTTATCCGGTTTGAAGCTCTACATACAAGAATGTGGACGGTAGGACAATATGGCCGTAATTGATTGCGACGATGGGAATAATCGTAAAGCGATGGTTTAGTTTATGTAAATATTTCTCAAGTTTTATTTTAATACTTTACTAAAATATAGTAATATCAATATATTCTGATAAGCTAAAAGGAAATAAAAATTTTCCAATTCTTTGTTCAATCTCAGTCACTTCAATTGCTTTCCTCTATAGAGAAAGGAACAGTTATTAACAATTAAGAGTGTCACTGCCAAATATCAAGTCTAGTAACCTTCACAGTTCAGTTAGATGAAGGTATGACATTTAAGACTCCAACCTGAAGCAATACATTAACACATACATAACCTTGGCGAAGCACATACAAAATAGAGGCTCAAACTCAAACAAACAAAGAATTTTACATCTGCAATAATATTCCTTAAACATAAACAAAACAAGTGTTCTAACCCATAAACAAATATAAAGACTTAAAAAAAAGTATTTTAAAATATTAAGTCTTTTAATGGTGACTAGCTAAGTGTTAAAGCATCTTCCGTGATAAGCACATACAAAATAATGGTGAGGGGCGAGCAATCAAAGCAACAGTTATAGGTCTTAAACAGTTTAACATTGCCACTAGTCACTACTAAAGCAACATTTATATGTCTTTAAATCAAAGCCCATAAAAAATAAATTAGGCTATAAGTCTTTAAGAGGTTATTTGGGTTAAACTATGGGACTTGAGTTGGAGTTATGTGTTGGACTCAAATTTAAATTAGGCACTTAATATGGATACTAAAAAAGTTCTGTATTTCGGTATACCGAAATTCCAATACCCTAATACCGAAAACTTAACCGAAGAAATAATGATATTGTAATACCGAAGACCATAGTAAAAAATCAAAGAACGGAAACCAAAGAATCGAATTAGTTTGGTTCGGTCCGGTTTTTCAGTTTCTCGGTTTTTATGCCCATTCTTAGTTGAAAAAGGATTAGGCTAATTAGCCATTATATATTGTTAGGTGGGCCATTTAGGTGGTTTTTTCAGATGTCACATGCTTTCAAACGAGTTATTACACACGTTATGCCAGGTAAGCAACGAAGAGGTTTAAATATGAAGGAGAAGATACCAAATAGTTTAAATAAAAAACTAAATGTTAGAGAATTTTAGAATATCATGAATCATCTTTAAAAGAATGTGTTGCAAAATAATAATTTAATGCACCCAAGGGGCGATGTAGAAGCGAGTGAAAACCGCTACTGTAAATGGTATGTCTGTTAGAAGTGTCTAATCCTCGACCTAAGCACTATATATTTAAATAATGCTGGTGATTTTCATTCACACATACTTCTCCATTAAGGGTGGTACGTGGGCCGGTTAGGATCGGGTCCGGCTCAGGATCACAAGTTCAAATGGACAGTGGGCCTAAACGGTTCTAACCGGATAAGATCGGGACCGTAGGGAGGTGGGCTGGGTAGTGGGCCGGTCCCATAGGCGAGGCCCGTGAGACTGGGACCGGTTGGGACCGGGACCGGCTGGGAAGTGGGCCGGTTCAAGCGGTCCTAAACGGGCCTATCCGGGCCCAAGGGCTAATTTAA